GAAAAATATTGCGGGCTTTTAGTTCAAAGTAGGTGTTACCCTAAGTCACAGGTGAGCAAGAAAGTCTTCTAGCTCTCTCTTAGTTTCTGTTAAACAACCAACCAAACAATGTATATGTCATATGTATTTATTTTTATTAAAAATTCACTTTAATAACAATTTTAGACAATATTCATGTTTAAAAACGTTGAAATTAATTGGAAAATATAAAGAAAATGCAAATTTAGTTTTCTCTTAAAGAAACTCTTTATAAGATTTTGCCTAGCTCTACTCTTAGGTCCTGATTGATCAATGAGAAATAGAAACTCTACATTTCATTGTGTCTCTCCTTTTAGTATTCTTGTTCCCTTTAAATTTCCACTGCATAAATTGTATTTATAACGGCAACCCTCTCTGAAAAGGAAGAGAAGAGCTCCATAAAAATGTCAACAATTCAATACTCTTTTAATTGTTGACACATTAAGATATGAAGCAAGCAAGAGCACTATTCTCCACCCCTCTCCCTTCTATTACTCCTGGTGCTAATCAACTCCACGCTAATTGGCAGCAAACATATAAGCCAAATAACCACTGGCTCTTGGGTTTCCTCACACGAAAATCCCCACAGGATATGACTCCAAGCAGGATGATGAACTTATTGGTGTTGTTTCTGGCCGTTGAATATCTCGCTTCCATCTACACTTTCGGTTGGACATATTGATACCTTGTTTAACATACTCCACTTTTGAAGATCGTATTTTAAATGTCGAACAAGATATTGGCGCGAAACTTGTTTGTTGTTGTTTTTTTTTTGTTTTATTTGTTTGCTGGGGGATATCCGTTAAAAGAGATCATGGCCATCAACGACTGATCAAAAGTTTCAAATATTTTTCATCATTTGTAGCATCAGCGTCATGACCATTGCTCATGTTTATGATGACAGAAGTCTTCGAGGAGCAACAACAACACACACATTGTTTGCAACAGAGGAGGGGAGAAGTGGCTAGCGCGGACAGGGAATTTTTAGGAGTAGCGAAAACAATCACACATTCATGTGGCAAACTTGGACACAATCATAAATTGTCAATACCAAAAATCTACACACAATAGGCCACAATGGATGGATGGGACGGACAGAGAGACAGACAGACGAAGGGGAGGACGAATGGTTGGAAGTAGAAACAGCAACCAGGAATATTGGGCATCACATTGTGTCTGGCTTGTGAAACCGTTTAATGTCAGATCTGTGGCAAGACTTCAACTTTGGAATAGTTAGTGGCGTTGCTGGCTGCCTTCATACGGCAGGCCAAGAATGTGGGTTATACAAATCCAGTGGCTAAGGAGTTTAGATGCCTTACGTCGCCTCTTAGGGTGTGCTGATTTATTGCGGTCAAATAAACTACTACCACAAGCGCGAAATTTTAAATTCAAAACTAAAATACATTGATCCAGCCAAACAACCATCCGTCCATCGAATCATACTTCGATTGAATATGTAGGAACAGAATGACATTGTTGTTCTCCTTCTGCTGTCTTTATGACCAGCCATCCATAATCGAATGCTGCCCGGCCTATTGATCGTCAATGGCAAGGTGAAATTTGTAGAGTTATCATAAATACAAAATACATTTGCCAGTTCGGTGCTGGCAGTCAGTTCGGTGCAGGAATATGGTTAGCTTCGTTTTGTTGCTACATCTGTTTGTTTGACCAATTTCTTTGGAACTTTGTCAAACTATGTGTCAATTCTTCTTCCTCTGCTTCGTCCGCTTGGTAGACAAAACGTTTTGATTGTTTTAACTTAAATTGAATTAACTCCGCTTTGTTTCCCGAAATTTACTCAAAACTATGCAGAAGAGTTGATTTTGTGGCAAATGTTCAGCATTTTTTTTTTGCTGGTTCTTGGGTAGTTATCAGAAATGCCGCCGCCGCGACCTTCGTCACCACAACATTGAATTTTGTTATGAACTTATCAATGGATATTGAAAATGATATGCAATGTTGAGTTAGGGAACCGGGAGTGATGCTTAACTGCGGAATTGTGGCTAATTTGTACATGTAATGTGGATATAGTCACACTTTATTGTTGCTGAAGTTTTGCACGAAATTTGGGGCAGGTATGGCTAAAATTTAGAGACCTCAACTCAGTTTTACTGTTAAACAAAGCAGATAACTTAAATATACTTCCACTTCTTATGCGGCTAAAAGCTAAATATATTGGCTGCGTTTTGCGGGTAGTTTTACGGATAATTTTTATTCCTGGATAATTGATCCACCTTCCATTTATGAACACTTCCTAATAAATTTATGGGAAATCTGTCGATGCTTTCAAACAATAAATCTATGATTGATGTATTGTTTTTCTCGATTTTTAGATAACTTATTCAATTTATTATTCACTATATATTTAAGAAATCGGAAGAAGAAATGCGATCTTGAAATTTTGTAAGAGGACTTATAAAAACTGCCCTTATATGGAACAGGCATACATTTAGGCGGGAAACTAGTCAAACCTTATTGGTGGATTAAGCAAGGCGAATATATTCTAGCGCCACCTATAACTGCCATCTTCGGACAAAATGGCTGAGTTCAATGCCTTGAGATTTAAAATCGGCATGTCAAATGAGATCATGAACTTGTACTTTACTGTACAGTACTTATTTTATTGCATTAGATTGAAAAGCATGATGTATACTTTTAGGCTCAACATTATTGTTGAACATAAACTTGCTAGAAGAATACAGGTAGTCGTATCGACACAGCTGCTGGGATAATGAGCTATCTAAGCGATTTTGGAATTGAACATGTTGAATGAAAAATTATTTAAATTTGTAAAAAAATTTGAAAAATGAAAATCTTAACAACCTCTGATCATCGGCCAAATCTTCTTAAATATCAAATTTGAAAAAGTTTTGTGGGTAAATGTGGCTAGGATTATCAAAAAGATTATCAAAACACCGAATATCGATAGGTATCGTTATATGCGCGTTATGGGAAAACGTGGACTTAAATATGAAATGTTCTACCATCGAGAACAAATGCCAATTTTTAGAAAAATCCGTGGAAAAATGTGTCAAAAATCATCAAAATACCGAATATCGGGAGGTACTGTTATATAGGGACTATACCAAAACGTGGACCTATACATTGAAGCTAGAATCCATTATGATCTGCAAATATCCATTTTTACACAAATCCGTGCAAAAATGTGGCGAAAACAATCAAAATATCGAATATCGGCAGGTCGTTATATGTCGCCATATCGTTATACGGCAGCTATATCAAAAAGTGGACCGATACATCTCATTTTCAATACCAATCATCCTAGACACAATTCAAATTGCTCTGCCAAATTTTGAAGCTATACGTCACATAATGTGGGCTGTATCGTGATTTCGACAGACAGAGGGACATCGTTAAATCGACTTATTTTATGGGGTCTGATTCAAAAAATGGAATGTTACAAACGGAATGACAAAGTTAATATACCCTCCTTTTCGAGGTGGAAGCTATTTGCATTCTTTGTTTGCACAACAAATAGGGCACAAAAGGTACGAAAAAGACCCATTGACGTTGCCATATTCGAAAATTATTTATCATCAATAATTCATGGATGAATGAATAATAATGAATAAAATTCCCTGCGGATATTCATGATTGGGGGCTAATCAATGTTCACAATGTGCTAATGCATCTGACGTATTCTTTCATCATGGTCTATAGCTTAATATCTAGAAGAGGCCATCGTTCGAAGTGAGCTATTAATTTTTTCAAAAAATGGTGTACTGTCAAAAGTGAATGTTTGAATGGAATTTTAATGAACAGCAATGTCGACTTAATCAAACAATAGAGGTGGGAAAATGAATGAGAAAAACAGCAAGCATATTTGAGCAAAACTGGCAGTTAATGAACATTCAAAGATTGACTGTTGAAAATGGCAAAGTTGTTTGTTTTTAACCGATTTCCGATTGCCTGGTAATCATAGATTTTTATTTGATCTTTCTACTAACCTAAAAGTATGCAACGATAATTAGTGTTTAGTTGTGAACTTTTACTCCTTTCATAAAGCCATTAAGTTTTAAAACTTCTCATCAAGAAAATCAAAAATGGTCTTAATGTAGGGATGTATAGATCGAAAAACGACTTTCAGCTATTTGGGCAATCAATAGGCGGAAAATTGTTTTTTTTTTTTTTTTGTTAAAACAAGTTTCAAAACATTTAAAAATGTCTTTTATTTCCTATTCTTGTTCTATGACAATTATCATTTCATTTATAAAGAAAAATATTTATAATGGTAGAACTGTCAAAGGAATAATTTCATAAAGAAACAAAATTTCTTTTAATAATTTAAATGTAACATAAATGTAACAAAAATCCAGCCTTGCCCTCGACATTCTACTTTTCGAGTCTTAAGTATGTGACGACGGCAGATTGTGGTTAGAACATGAAGTGTGGTAAAATAAAGAAGGCAAAGTCTTTTCAAAAATATGCCAATGTCTGGATTTTCTGTAATTTACCTTGTAAGAACATGAAGTGTGAATTATAACTCCGGAAATCACAAGAGAACCAATACTGCATTGATTGACATTATTCGAAATAACTTTGGTAAAATTAAGAAGAAAAAGCATACCTATCTCTGCATTTTCTGTAATTTACCTTGTCTAATTTCACAGCATAGGAAAATGATTCCCATCTCTGACTTGTGTATATACAGTGAATTTATAAATATTCATTTGACAATGAGATGTCGTCAAATGAAAAATTTTGAAAAAAAATTAAACATATGATTACATGACTTTACCTTCTTAAACCTACCATGACTTATATGTAAAATTTTTTTTTTTACTTAAAAAAGAAATCAGTCGTAGTTTCTTTTTAATTTTCTTTAGAAAATTTTTCATATTTACACCTTTTTATTCTCTTTGCGGAAAATTCCTTAATAGACCTTGTTTAGAATTACTTTCCTCAACCGACGGCATCATAACAAAATGTTCTTAATTTGTTCTTGTACTTTGAAAACTTACCCGTGCGGGGAATGGACGTTGTCCTCTTAGAGCCTCATGCAAACCGGAAGCAGCCTCCGATAAAACGACCAATGCTTGTGACGGTATGTGACTGCTTCCAAAGGCGTTACTTTCCATAATAGGTACACAGGACAAACTCCCACGAAGATGTTCCGGATCAAGGGAACGTGATTTCGAAGAAATTTGAAATTTAAAGTTGATGAGGTTAAATCCAACACAAGGTGGCGTTAGGCATGGAGCGCCTTTATTTTTGATTGCACAATTAGACTAAATTAAACACTGGTTGACACTAATTATGTTTTTTTTTTAAATTTGTTGTTGTTTTCTTTGAGTATTGCTAATTATTTGTTGTATTGCCAACAAATCACGTGACCTGTCACAATAATAGCAAAAATAATAATTTTAGCACGCACGCACACATTTAAAAACACTAGCAACAATTGCAACGTATGAATGCCACAAACAAACAATGCATGTAATTACTTAACTACCAACAACAACAGCAGTAATTACTTATGGGTATCACCGTCGTCGCTTGGTAGTGGTCGGCGGGACATGCCTTCAATCAGTCGGTCGATCGGTCCGTCAGTCACACTGCACTGCACTGCACTTCACTTCTCTTCATTCGTTTAGTTATTACAAAGAAGCACTTTCGGTCGGTTGCCTGCTACCGCTCACTATTTGAAGCTACTGCCATTAACTGACTGACTGACGACTGGCAGTGTCGCTCGTTCGTTGTCTAGTTAAGTTAATTAAATTTGCAATTACTTTAATCGCTGTTTGGTTTTTTCTTCTTCCTTTGGATTCGTGAGCGAGTGAGTATGTCTATGTGTGTGTGTGTGTCTGTCGGTGTGTGTGAGTGAGCTTCAGTTGCAATTATGAATCTCTTTTTTTTTTCTGTAGCTCTTGTTGTTGCTGCTGCTCTGGCTGGTGAGTGTGTGATTAATTTTTCATTGACTCCGACACAGAGTGATACACCCGCACGTACGTAAAATCTGCTTGGAACTAAAGTGACTTTTGTATTCTGCTGCCCAGTGAGTCAGTCATTCAGTTGCTCAGTTGCAGGCAGCCATCCATCCAGCCAGCCTGCCTGCCTTGTGTGTGGCACGAGTAGGACTTGTTTGTGGAGTCAGTACATAAAAAACCAGTTCCATTTTTAGATACTTGCGCACAACACTGCCTCCATGGCAGCAAGAGCAGCAACACGTACACACGCACACACTCACCCGGCCTGCAGGTCTGGTGTGTGGTGGTTTCGTTGACGCCCCTCATGGTTGGTGAGTAGCTCTGATTGGTGCTCAATGAACCGGTTCATTGTGAACATATGCTGCTGCTGCTGAAGCCCAGCTGGCTGCTGGTGTTCGTTCGGTAGTGTCTTCCATGGCATGTACTGTTGGCTGACCATGGGAGAGTGAGCGAGTGGCGAGAAAAACGAATGGTGTTTTTTTTTGTTTTGTTTTTGTTTTAGCCAAACTCATGTGGTATATAGACTCGAACGACTACTGATGACTACCAGCGGCAGGCAGTGCCACTGGATTGCAGTGCTGTTGCTATCACTAAGTTACTCTCACTCACACCCATTTGCATTATGGACTCGACTCTGGTAGCTACAGTGAAATGAAATGATAGAAATGGTTCTGTTCGGTGGCTGAGGCTGCTGGTCTTTGTTGCTGTTGTTGTTGTTGCTCCTGTCCAAAGTAGATTCTGCTGGTTGTTGTTCCGTTTTGTTTTTTTTTCGTTTTGCCTTGCGAAGCCAAATGACAGTCCTGGCAACCACCAGATGTAGGTATATGAAAGTCGTCGTCATTGCTGTTGTTGGTGTTGTCCTTGTAGTTGTCGTTGCTGTTGTTGTTGTTGTTGCCTTCGAGTGAGTTAAGTACACTTTAGTAATTTACAACATGTTCACAACTAACTCTTTGTGTCCTATTCCAAAATGGTTGCACAGATGGTTTGTTGTCGTTGTTCTTTTGTGTTTTTTTTTCAGTTTTTTTTTTTGTTGCTGTTGCCAATACTTTTGCCATTTTTTCGGTCTTTTTGGCTGTTGTTGCAAACATACAAACGTGTCCGTCGTTCTGTCGTTTACCATGTTCATGTCCATCGCCATATCTATGGTTTTGTTGGCAATTCTTTGTGTAACGTTTTGTTGCTGTTTTTGTTACTTTTTTTGGTTAGCTCTTCTGCATTTATCTGTCAGTTTGTTGTTGGAAATCTTTGTTTGCTGGTATCCTTAACTTTGTCCCGACTATTGGTTGGGTTGATTGTTGTGTGCCTAGGCCATTTGCTATTCTCTCCTCCTGTTTTTGGTCATGTAAGACACCACCTGGTGTACATAAGTTTATGATATTTTAACTATTTCAAAATTTAAAGCTCGTAAATATTTTTACTGTTTTCGAAGGATATGATTTCATTATGGCTGGGTATTTTGAATTTATAACTTTGAACTCGATAGTTATGTTTGAAGGATTCCCAAATATACCTATTGAGAGTTCATAGGCTTTCAAAGTAACTACACAACTATGGCGATAATTGGAAGCTCCCAGCGATGGCCCTTAGCTTGGCTGTATAATGGACGACCGACAAAAATATGAGATTTTCAGGCTAAATTTTCGAATAATATTTAACAAGTTTTTCATTTCAGTGTTGATTACGTCGGTGTTGTCGACCTTTTTAATATTTTTTTCTAATCAAATTTGCAGGATACGAATACTTCCCTGCCAAAAATTGAAAAATATGACAAGGTTTTATCCTATCCCCCACATTAATTTATATATCCGGGTTGAAGTTATTTGTCAATCCAAAGTTCTTTGGCCAAAAACAAGGTTTCAGAGACAAAGTTGGAAGTGAGATTCATGCCTTCCCGCTTTGCAGGGAAATACCGGCGCCATTCAGTGAGCCATTCTACTAATTAATTGTGAAGATGTTAAATAATTTGGACTTCTCATTCGGCTTTAAAATACTTTTTTTAAAATCTATCCATGTTGGGCGCCAAATAACCTGAATATGTGATTTGCTTATAAACGTCTCTTCCGAGAGTTGGACTCTCCTTATACCAGTTTTACAACCAATGACAATCATGAATCGTCAGAATTGACAGTGATTAGAAGCTGAAAAGCATTTTAGGCAACCCACTTCTATAATTGCTCCTATCAACAACTTTCATTTGGTTCTAAGTCCACTATTCATCAGTTTCTCAGTCGGCTTTAAAATAAGTTTTTATGATTTTTTAGCACTTAACCCACGTTGGGCGCTAAAAAACCTTGACCCCGTGTAAAGTATTTCGAATATTACTAAGCTCATAAACGCCTCTTCAGAGTATTGGACCCTCTTCAGATGACGTTTTGCAAACAATGGCATCCAAGGATCTTCAGATTTGTCAATGATTGCAAACAGAAGAATATGATGAGCAGGCCACTTCCAGAATTTATCATATCATCAGAGGCTTTATGCTTCAGAATTACACTAACATCGAACATTCATTCAGAACCAGCCTCCTGTAAGGTGAAATCCACCCTTGAGGGTATCACTTTTTTAAAATTTTCGCCATTTCAAGAACCCAATGATGAGGAATTAGTTATTTATTATTCTGTGACAATTCGGGGTGGGATGTCCCTGTGTCTCAAATTGCTTGACTCTTTACTAGACGCTTTACAAGTTAGGAAATGTCTCCTTATATAATGTGAAATCTATTCCATTTTATTTCTCGGTGTTCTTTTTCTATTTCGCTGCCGTGGTGTAGGGCATACTTTTGCCAGTAGCCTCGAATTTCGAGGGCGGCATCAGGTCACTTACTGTCACTTCACTTTGGAATAACCATGTATGGCTTGGAAGAGAACTGTTTCTTATCAGAATACGGGTTTAGTTCAATTTTCCTCCTCGCCTGTTTGAATTTTGCCACTCGAACCGGAACACACTTTTGAGTATGTGGACACACATCTTCACAATATTCCCATGAGTACGGACCTGCTTCCTCGATAATCCTTCTCAGAATAACAATGTCAACGAACCGGCTTAAAAAGCAGGCTGCTTTTTTACTGCTTCCTTCCTGGTCTATTCCATTTGAGAAGCATAGGTTCGGAAGAAACTTCTCCCATCTCCTTATCCAGGGCTTCTAACCATTTTGATTTTCTCATTACGCTTTTACATCCTCCGCCATACAATTGAGGGTATATTAAATTTGTCATTCCTTTTGCGACACCTCGGAATAATCGTCCGAGACCCCATAAAGTTTAAATATTTCTGATCGGAATAAAATTATAAGGCGATGTCAGTCAGTCTATCTGTTGAAATCATGATATAGTCAATTTTATTTAATCTAGAGCTTTTCCCACAAAGTTTTATATTGGTCCATGTTTAGGTATGGAGCCCATATAGCGGTAACTCCAGACTTTTATTAGCATAAATTTGATAATTAGAGATCTTGGTAGGTCTGTTCTCTTCTTCCGATATTCCATTTTAACCATTTGTGGCATATCACAGTCTATATAGGTCCACGTTTACCTATAGCCCACATATAACCCTACCTGTTGTTTTATACCTAATGGTGGTGGGTATCGAAAGTTCGGCCGGGCTAAACTTAATATATTTTCAACTCTTTAAAATCGGGAGATTCTCCCTTTAAAGGAGTTTCGATATTCCGGGGCTAGATGACACGTTTTACTCCCCTTTTACGGGTTTGTAGGAATATCGTCTTGAAACGAAACAAACATTTAAAAGGCTTTCAATTATTTTCTATGAGGGAGGAGCCCCAATTGGATCTCGACTTTGGACAAAGAAGAATTTGTCAATGAAATAAAAATCAAGAGTCATAGTTTTGTGTGGGTAAACTGAAATGAATACTGGATTAGAAGCCTTTCAGCATAAGTTCTAAAATGTACGCTTATAGTAGTGAAATTATAAAACCTCTGTGTCCCAATTTTGCTCACAGGCAACCATTTGCTCATCTCATTCGAGGATTCGATCATGCATACTATCAAGGAGTATTGCTTCACTACTTATATTAACAAAGAAAACCTAAAAATTCCTTTCCTGGTAAAAGTTATGACCGTTTTTGCACCTTTCCACAACAAAATAGGGATACGTAGGTCGACTTTTGATTAATCGACTTTTAATGATAATAAAAGTCTAAAAGTCGAAGTCGACTTTTGTTATAGTGAAAATCGTAAAGTTGGCTTTAT